TTGCACAATATCAGTTAGTTCCATCATAAAGATAGTCTATACAGAACTTACTTTTGCAGTTTTTCTACAAAAGTAAATTCTGTCATTTTCGATAGTCTTTCTTGGCTGATATTGTCAATTACAAAACATTTTCGCTGCTGTTAAAAATAAAAGAGTTTTTACTGATTTTCGCTAAAATACTTGAATTGCTGCATCATCGATGGTTGTGTGTTTTGACACAGCTGATAACAGGCATTACTAAAATGATCATGGAAAAGTTACCAGAAGCGGATTTTCGAAACTAAAAAAATATGATTCGATAGAGACATACGTTGCTTGAATATTTTACACCAAAAAATTCTTCTAGCATTAAAACAAAAATGCAACAAAAAATGATGAAGATTACAATAGGAAACTTCATCAATTTGTGTTTGATTATCTTTTGTTGTTCTCAACAGATTCACACAACAACTGAAAGAGTGAAAAGGCAAATCAATTCGATATAAGATATACTTTCTCGTAGATGGAATAAATTGAATTGAAAAATCTCTATTGATCCTATTCGAAATCATCCAGCATCATTAAAGAAATGATCTTCAATCTCTGTAATTTTCTTCTCAATCACAACCAGTTTCGATAAAAAAATGAACATATACATGTTTTCATGTTTGAACAGATAACTGCAATAAGGAACTTTTTTGTTTATAATAATTATCTAAGTGCGAAACAAAATGCAAAAATCTTATTTTTAATTATACTTTTTGCTCTTTTCTCAGCACTCAGACAAAGTATACGTAATAATAAAAGATGAAAATGCGTCTACATCACCGACCAATAAAAATTCAAGGACGTGCCTTATCTATGGTAATATATAAATCCAGTGGAGGATATGTTCTCTAAATGCATGTATTATGCCTTTAGGAATTTTTTTTGATCATACAAAATTATTTTATGTAGGAACTACGTGCTCTTGTGTTACATTTATTCTGTAAGATTGTAGAGAACAGTTAGTCGACAAGAGATAGAACTAATGTTTTGACATAAAAGAGCGGTATCTATCGGTTTCTTTCTCTGGTAGTAGTCCTATATGATTAGTTATTGTAAAGGATGGATGACTTTATCTTATCTACGTTTACGTCGGCCTCGAAAGAATGTAATAGTCTAGACCTACTTAAAAAATTACTGAAGTGAAGGTTTGATGTTTTTCGACTGAAATGATTTTTTTTTAACATTCAAGATCAATCTTAGTTAGTTAGATGTATTTAAACTTGGTTATAATTGGTTAATCGTTATGATCGCTGTTCGAATCTATAATTCTGTTTGTTTAGTTGACTTTTAGAGGATTGGAATCGATCTGTATGTGACTAGAAACGATCAAGATCGAAATTATACAATATTAAGAAATATGATAATTATTCGTATTCAAAATTATACAATTAGAAAGTAAAATTTTTCGAAAGTTACTTATTGACTCTATATGTTCTATGAACAAATAAATCAATACATACAACTTTTGTTCGTTCTCTAAGAACATTACACTAATAAGAGAAGTCTCCGAACTAATTAATCGCTTCTGAGTCGAGGCTGTATACATCATATAGATCTTAATGAATTATAAATAATCTGAAAAAAGGTCAAACTCTTAGCTAATTTGTTCGAATATATTACACTTTTATGGCATTTTTTAAGTCAATAACGTATTCACCTTGAGGAACATCAGTAAAAACTTATTTTCGAATTTCGACTTGAAACTTTGCATAAATGGAGGTAGTAACGCTCCCGGTTAGTTAGATTTTATACATGATGTTCAATCTTTCCTTATCATTGAGTCGTACATGATATATATTGTGTGTTCTTTCATCCACTCTTATTCTACTTATGTATATAAGCTTGTGCTTTATATGTAAACGATACGATTATATGATATGAAGAAATAGAATAAAGTGTATCTCTATCCACACTAACATCTCTTCTATTAGAAGTCGTCAGAGAGATCTTAACGAGAATAGTTAATGATGAAAATTTCAGACCTTTTTGTTGTTATTTTTCTAAGATATGGCTATGATAATAGTCTGTCTTTCATATTGATCATAGACATCGATACAATCGGTGTCCTGCTTTCATAATAAACCATTCTCATCAGGGTCTGCTTCTTTGCAAAGTTTCAAGTAGAAATTCGAAAATAATTTTTCCTGGTGTTTTTGAGTAGAAACACCATATTGCTGTAAAAAAATATTGTCAGCACAAAATCGCAGAGACTAAAATGTGGGACTCACATTCACACATGTTCTTTAGTTAAATGTTTTTCAAGGATCATTGATTGCCAGACAAAGGATCTTACTTATTTCTGTGTTTCGAACCAAACATTTGTTTACTGACAACGTATTTTCGATTACCTTTTTATTATTCGCGCATTATTTTTCTTTCATGTATGTCTTTTTTCTTAAATTAACATAATTATTATTTTAAATATTAATTATTATTTTAAATATTCATTTAACTGACAAATAGGTTTCTTGTACACATCTTTTATATCCACAGCAGATCTTAATGCGTTATTATTCGTCTAGATAAATTCTAGAAATACTAATATTGATTATTTCCCAAAGTTTTATGTTGATCATATGAGGACTGTGGCAAATCCACGCATCACTGCCGATCATCTTTAATATCTATTATTTCATTGTTTATGTATGCAAAATGCAGAAACCATGCTATTGAGAACATTCATAAATGTATTTTAGACATTTAAATTGCAACGAAGGTTTTTTAGCATTCTGAAACTTTCTAGACTAGTTTAAGCTTTGTTTTTAATCCTGTTAAGGGTCATTTTCTGTCCCTTAACGATCTATAGGAAAGGCATTTGGTGTCTACTGTCCTTGATCACTAGAAGAACTGTGATGTTCTATACGGAGAACATCCAAATTCCATCTGATAGTGTAAAACTTCTGTTCAACTGCATTGTATACATGATGTTTGTCCTTTCCTTACTATTTCTTCTCATCTTACATATTGTACTTATCTGTTTGTCCTTACCTTGCACATCATTTTGTACTTTGTCCCTGTCTTAGTACTGTTCCCTTCTTTCCTTATTATCCTTCTCTTCTATATCGCTTTCTCTTCTCTGATGATCGAGTATATAAGCTTATGCTTTGTATGTAAACGATACGGCTATTGATATGAAGAAACATAATAAACCGTAGTTCCATCAGCGCTAATACTTCTTCTGTCTAAAATCGTCACAAGAACTGATACTCATTTACACTTGAACATTCTCCTTCGATTGCTAAAGTCCGAAGCAGGATGACGAGGGAGAACCCAAATATTACGACTTAAGATTTACACTCACTATTTTCCTTCGAAAAATACATGTAAGTTCCACAAAATGTTGTAAGAATGCAATTTCTCAGTACCAATAAATTAAAGTTTCGAATTCGTTTCAGAATATTCATCGCTCATTAAGGTTTACATGATGTATAAGGTCTTGATTCACAAGCCATTAATCTATTGAGGACTCTTCTCATAAGTTTTAATATTCTATAAGACTTCGTAAGATTTTATGAAGAGATCTAATTAATTTTGAATTTATATGATGTTATATCGAATTCGCTCAGTTACAACGATATAATTGTCAATCGAATAGTGATGTCTAAAACAGTATCTGTACAAGATATTTCTTAGCATATCTATCATAACTCCATAAATTGAAATTTTCTAAATTGATAGATTTTAACAATTATTTAGAAAGCTTTAAATACAAGTATTTGAGAAGAAGTCGAGTATATCTAATCAAAACATGTTTGAATAATTTACACATCGAAAATAAGAATACAAATAAACGAGAACAGTATCGATTTATACGTCAAAATATGTTCTTCATCATTGTGAAAAAAATATATTATCTATTTCGTTTGAATACGTACAACTTTGTGTATCGTTAAGCGTTTTTTTTCTAAACGAATGAGTATTATATTCTCACGAATTACTGACTATCTTTTAAAAAATTTTCTAAGTTATATATTTTAATTTCTTGCATTATATGTACTTCTTAAAAGAAAAGTTGAATCCATGATAACTGTTCCTGACTCATCTTTATCTCATGAAACAATATCTTCTAAACAGAACAATAATAATTTCGGAATATATTCTATTGTATGGCTTGATGCTTCAATTAATTCTCAGAACAATATAGATACTCAAAAAAGAATTCGATCATCGATTAAATATTTAGAAATATACGAAAAACTGGATGCATGTAAAAACTATATATACTCAGTGTCGTCACATCATCGAGTTATCTTAATTGTTAGTGATTATTTTGGTCAACAATTAATACCTGAAATTCATAATCTTCCACAAATTTTTTCAATTTATATACTATGTAAAAATGAACAATGTCATCATCAATGGATTCAACAATATGAGAAGGTAATCCTTGTTTTCTGATAATTCTATTGCCGATCGAATTTCTGTTTGATATTAGATAAAAGATGTCTATCATCAATTCGATGATGTGATGAATAGAATACGAACTGATTACTCAAGAAGAAAACAAGATAAATCCGATGAACCGATATCAATTAGTTTTTCTAGTTTAAACAAAAGTTCTGAAAAATCTACAACTGAAATTGATGGTCAATTTGTTCAATCTCAATTACTAGTTGCTTGTCTTCTTAAAATGAAAACTACTACAACAGATAAAAATGAATTTATTTCAGAATGTCGAAAAGTTTACAAAGATAACAAAGCACAATTACAGTATGTAAATGAATTCGAAAAAGAATACGCACCAGAATATGCATTATGGTGGTATACGAGAGAAACATTTCTTTATCGTTTATTAAATAAAGCACTTCGTGTTCAGAATATTGATCTACTCTATCTCTTTGGTTTTTATATTCGTGATCTTGAACAAGAACTTAAACAACATCGATATTCATCACCTATTCATGTCTATCGAGGTCAGTTAATGTCTATTGAAGAATTAGATTTATTGAAAGATTCAAAAGATAAATTAATTTCGGTGAATTCACTTCTTTCAACAACATTTAATCGTGAATTGGCTCTTATGTATCTTGATTCATCAAATAATGATAATATGTTGCAAAAAGTATTATTCGAAATTGATGCTGATCCTTGTCAAGATGGTATAAAACCATTTGTTGATCTTTCAAAAATTAGTATATTTCCTGAAGAAGAAGAAATATTAATGATGTTAGGATCAGTCTTTCGTGTGATAGATATTTCTCATGATGATAGTAATATATGGCATATTCAAATGAATTTATGTAGTGAAAATGATTGTGATTTACAAAAAATCTTTTATCATATGAATAATCAATATGGTATAAATAATACTCGATTAACTTTATTCGGAAGTGTTCTTATTGATATGGCTAATTTTGATGATGCTGAGAAATATTTACGTCGGTTATTACAACAAATGTCTTCTCAACATAAACATCTTTATAAATGTTATCATGCACTTGGAAAAGTATTATTTGAAAAAGGAGATTATAATTCAAGTTTAGATCATCTTAGAAAATCTCTTGAAATTCTAGAAAAATCAAAATCAAATAATTCTCATATTGCATACATTTATAATAGCATTGGTGAAGTTTATCAAAAAACAGGTGAAATCAAATTAGCATTAGAATCATTTGAAAAAGCATTAGATATTTTTAAAGAAACATTCACTGATGATCATGAAAATATAGCTTGGTGTTACAATAATTTAGGCATAATCTATCTACAACAGAAAAATTTTTCTAAAGCATTGCACTATCTTATGAAAGCATTGAATATTAAACAGAAAATACTTCCTGATGGACATCCGTGTTTAGGTAATACATACAATAATCTTGGTAATATACATTATTATTGTCATGAATATGATCAAGCATTAGAAAAATATCAATTATCGTATGAAATTTTTAAAAAATCTCTTACTCCTCGACATCCTTCAATTGCAAGAGTGCTCAAGAATATAGGTGCTGCTTATGAAGCTAAAAAGAATTTTATTGAAGCAAAAATAAATTATGAAAAAGCATATCATATTCGTAAACTTAAGTTATCTTTATCACATCCTGATTTTATTGAAATTACAAATGATATTGAACGTGTATCATTTCACGTAAAATAAACATTTTATCTTTCGATGGAACAACGATACTATATTTCAAAAGAAAACACGAATTTGTATTTTCTGTATATAAACCGTGTATTCGAATGAAATTAGAAGAACAGTTTTTGTAGAGTAGACACATAAAATAATATGATTATATTCTAGTACCTTCAAGCTCTTCAAGTGTCATACAAATTGTTCGTCCAGTGACATATTGTTATTGTCTAAATGTAGAATGTTGGTTTTTGTTTTCTTTTTCGAAATAAATTCTATTTCCAAGCAGTTTTCTAACTATTATAGAATAATTTCAACTATTCATTCTCTCATGTTTGTTTATGATAAATCGTTATCTAATCAATGTAGTAGTTGATATATGATGAATAAAACTAGTAGCCTTTCTATATATCTACCGATGTGAATTTTTATTAAATGATTCTTCACTATCAAACTTTTTGAGAGGAGCTAATTTATAATGATGTTTTATTGAACTTTGTATATTTCCTTGAATATAGCAAATTTGTATCAATAAATATGCAATATATAGTAACTAACAAGTCTAATTGATTAGTAGGTTTTCATCGCAGTAACATTCTCACGAATTTTTGTTAATATGGAGGTATTATATGTGAAACATGAGCAATATTTTTTTTCTAATTATCGATTCTTTTCAAAAAGAATGGTCTGTAATTTCTTGAATTTTGATTTTAATTGATTGAACTATGACAACAGAATCAAGTCGTTACAAATTCTGAATAATCAAGACAATCCTTTGGAAATTAGTAATCATATAATGCTTTGAATCTTTAAATTTCTGAATTTCTCATGCTTCTTGACTGTTCTGCATTAAATAAGTATTTTATGCGGCTCAATTAATAACTAATTTGTTCATTCAATTATTCAAATCGAAACAATCCATTGGAAACCACAGGATTTTATTGTCTCATAATAAATTAACCAAGATAAAGAGAAAATAATTTGTTTTCAAGTAAATTTTTGAAATCCTGGCTTATCTAAAGCTTTAGTGCATCTGTTGGTGCATCCACAAGCTGGTCTACAGCATTTTTCATCACCAGCGCATTCACTATCTCTTGTACAACCATTGAGTTGTCTTGAAAGTATTAAATTAAGATTAGGTGGACAATAAACGGCACATATCATCATATGCATTGGACAATAGCCTATAATAGAAATAAATTTGTATTTTCTGTTAAAATTCTTACGAACTTACCAGCATGAGCCAGTTGAACCTCTCGTTTTTTGAGTGCTTCAGCACTAAAACATGAGAGTACTACAAGTAAGAGTATTGCAAGAAGACGCATTATTAAAGTGATTAGCAGTAGATGTGTGAATAATAATAGCAGCGACAATTTATAATCATATCAAATACACATTCACATCTGTATTTTTTTCTCTTTGCGCGATGCTTAATCAAAAAAAAATCGCTTAACCAAAATCAAGTTGTTTTTTCGGATTTTGATGAATGAAAATCAAGATAAAATATGCTGATACACTGTTTTATTTTAGTTTTAATACATAAAGTACAGCAGGGCGTGGGTGTGGACGAGAACCTTCTCATCACTCAAGATCCACGCCCTCAAAATATTACATGAACAAAACAGCTATTATAATTGAAACGAAGACAATGCAAATAATCAGTCAGTCGTTCGATCTTCATCAGCGTGTGAGAAAGGCAAAGACACAAAAAGTGATTAGTTTTTCGATCACAAGTGCGATCTCCAACTATCATAGAAATGCAATTGATTTTATATCACAAATCTTATTTGAATTGCTACTAAAGAAAAATCTATGTTCAAGAAATCGTGTTGCCAGTAAAACATGGTTTTATAACGCATTTCTAACAATCATCCATGCATAACAAGTCACATTTGTGGACGTTAAAATGAAATAGAAACGAATACGTTAGTCAGGCAATTGCACAACATAAAAAACAAGTGCACAAACGCAGAAAAAAATAGTAGTTTTTTTTGCCGTCCAAACACGGTTCTCATTTATAAGTGAAAAATAAACGATAAAAACAAGCACTCAAAAATAGTCAGTTTTCACGGCATTTTGTCGTTTTCTTTTTCAATTAACAAGTAGAGAAGTCAATCAAACATTTGCATTAATGCTCAAATGATTGACTTTGAGCACATCTTCACGAGTATTACAAAGAACGTCTTGTTGAGACCCAAAAAATAGATGACTTTTGTATTTTCACATAGGAATGACACTTTATCTCTATTTTAACAGGTAATGTAACCTATACTAACTTTAATTAAAAAAATTACAGCATCGTTAGGGTACATACAGCAGAAAAAAAATATTGTAGTACATATTTTTGGTCATTTCCTTACTTCAAAATATAACAATTCTTTTTTCAATATCATTTCATCACAAAACAAGTGAACAGAAAGTACAGTTAAGTTGAAAAATGCCAATTCTTTATAAGTGCATGAAATATGTTGTTTATTCACTTTGGTCTATCTTAGTTTTCACATTTCAACTGCAGGATATTACATGTTCTATTTTACTTCTTCAAAGTAGAATAAAAATAAAGTACTACCCCTATCCGCGCACACACGTAAAATATGTCGCCATGACGCGTTAGTCTCTGTTTGAGACAACATCCTATTTTACCACTAGCAGTTTTAACTTTGTGTGCGTTTTTGATTATTTAAGAAGGAGGCTTGTAAAAAACGGGAAATTCATATATTTTGACGTTATCAAGACAATTTTCTCTGCACACATGAAAACACACTTAAAGCCGATTGTTTAAGCCCTTGTCTGAATTTCCAATGATGTTCTTTATTTAATAACCAGCTGAAAATGGGACAATAAACTTTGGTCTATGAAATCAATGTTTTTTGCGAGCTTCTTTTCTATACTTTTCTGCTCATAGTAAGAAAACGCTATTGAAAGCAAAAAATGACAATTTGCTTCAGTTTTTTTGTTCGTTTACATGCATTTTTAAAGGTTGTGTGATCAGGTAGGAAGTAGCTAGAAATGTATTGGATAAGAACGAAAGTTCGAAAAGACAGTTCCAGTTACCACAATCAAATGTGTTCTATTTTGGTGATTACGGGCCCTTTTTCAAAAAAGAGCAGAATGAAAGATTGACTGAGAATGTGATCTTCTTAGGAACCTTGACATATAAAATTATTGACACATAATATCGTTTTACATATTTGTTCTTGAAATAATATCCAAGATCGAGATCAAACTCACGAAACAAACAGATTCAGTTTGCTCTCCCTAGTGAGAAGCAATACAGTTTATATGTGGACACCGACATAAAAAGTAAAAAAGAGTTTTTACCATGTAAGCATAACGATTTATTGAAAATTGACTGGTTTTTGGTAGGTCATTTTTCGATCACTTTCTTTTGATAGGCAAGAATTGCGGTAGTGACCGAAACGTGGCTACTTTTTTTCATTTTTTCTTCTGTTTGTACATAGTTCTGATGATAACATTATGATCTAGGGAGCACTGCCGATGAAGACAGCCAACTGTTCACGTAGCGCGAAATCTCTTTCTGATTTTTGATAAACTTGCCTAAGCAACGTAGCTTTGTCATACATAAGATATTCTTTCGTTAACCGATTTTTTCAAAATAGATTTCATCAAATTCGTTGATATACATGAGTTTTGTATTGCTACTCCGAATAATGTTGTTAGAACTCTCAAATCACTCAATGACCGATTCATATTTTCTCTGTTTGATGATGCATTCAAATGAGAAACGATAATCTATGTATGAGAAGCAGATAATAACGACGATATCTGAATCAATCGGATTTTCTGATTTTCATGCATTCCCAGACTCCTATTCGTATATATTTTTTGTTTAAAGATCTACGATGTCGGTATTGTCGGACAAATATATTATCCAACGTATATGTGACTTCAACAAAGAGTATTATTGTAGAGTAGAAAAGATTGAATTTTTGCCTGGTATTATCCGTGTTTTTATTAACGAACGAGGAGATAATTCACTTGGTATGTTCATTGTGAATTTGCGATCTAGAAATATCTTATGATAATCGATTAATATGCTTAGGTTCTCTTCAAGATCCGATGGATTCAAGATTAGGTATTGTCATCGAATCCGTTTTATCAGAAGGTAAAAAGCCGATCGATGGAAAATTTTCTGTCAGTGATCCGACTCAACAATATTTAGGTGAGCATTATTTTTTTTTGTCATGTGTTGGTTATCTATTCGTTCGTTAGGCTATCTCGATTTTACTTTGGATAATTCATTTTTTAATGGTCAGCCTATTGTTGGCTTCGAATACGGAAGTTGTGGTTATTCAACTGCAAAACTTTTCCGCTTTGATCAAGCGTTGATCGACACATACAATTTAAAGCCGACATAGAAATCTATTTAATATTCAATGATACAAACAATTTCAGTAGTAACAACGTCGTAGAGAGACGAATGGATTGAATACAAAACTCTGTTTTCTTTTAACTTGACAAAATTTTTAAAATAAATCTATGAATTTTCAAAGGATTTTGATCTACATATATTCCTTTAGAATACGCCAAATCTTAATAAGTGATTGAAATTCGAAACTTTCGAATTTCAATCACTTATTAAGATTTGGATTAGTGTTCGTTTATGTTGACAAACTTTGCATTAATGGTTGTTTGATGGAAAAGGAACTCATATGTTACAGTGAAATATACAATACAGCAGTATTTTCAATTTGTTACGAATCATGCGTTTGAGAAAAGTACATTCTCAAAGTTATATTGCTCTTTATCATACAGTAAAGAAAATATGTTGTCAAGCGATGATCGATGTTGAAAAACAGGATTGCCAAAAGCAATGATAGTGTTGTTCGTCGTACTTTATCTCTCAAAAATTTTTTTTGTCCAATAAAACATTTACACGCCACTGTTTAGCAAGTTGTTCAGACACTTTATAATAGAGAGATGTCAACCGATAAGTCTATTATTGAACATGTGCAACCGTTAGCAAAGGAGGAGTTCAACTAGTCTAGAATTATCCATACAGT